TTTCAATTCAGATGAGAAATCACAAGATTCCGCATTTCTGGTGAAACGGGCAGTAAAACTAAAAATCATCTTGATAGTTTAATCTTTTTTTGATTGAACTCATCTAAAGTTGCAATCACTGTATATGCTCAGATATTATTATGTGTACGTACTGATTGAAAGAAAAATTGTATTAATAGTTTACAAGTACTTTATTAGTAATAATTATTCTTTGTAAAACTCTCATCAAGTGAATTTAACTTATTTTATTTTATAAAATTATTACATGCATAGTATATAATGAGACACACTCTGTTGTTTTTATATAAAATATTTAAGTTTATTATTACTCAGAGATTGTTATGCCTAACAGACTGTTATGCTGTAGAGTTTCAACATAAAAACTTCATTGAACCAGGTCAAAAGATTCACCATTGGCATTCTCAAGGACTACGAATCGGGTAATATAGACAACTTCAAAAAGCACAGTGATCACTTAAAACGATCCCGAGTTACTTTGTTTGGTTTAAAAAATTGTTTTCAAATTGACTTCGAAATAAAAGATTAATTAAAATCGTATGTAAAAATTTCACATTAATTGCATTTTTGATATTTTAGGCAAATATTTGTTTTAATATTTGAAACTTTTGAAAACTATTTTTGAGATATAAATGTGTTTTATCAAATAAACCTTTCAATTATTTCATATGATTGCTAACTCCCCACCAATCTAGCATACGCTTTCATACGTATTTGGTCAGACCTCTCCCCCCTAGCAATGCGTACGTACTTTGTGCGCGCCGCCTTTAATATTTTAACTTTTATTTATGTACATTCAGTTCCTTATATTACTGTATTGTGCGGGATTGATTTTAAAACCCAGTGAGACCCAGACCCAGTCAAAACGAGAGAGCTCATTTACTTTTTGATTATTATTAAATATTAAATTATTATTAAATTTTTTCAAAGTAATATAAAGATTTTATAGTTACATCATTAAATAATTTACTAATTATAATTATACCACCAAATGGAGAGAGAGAGCTATTTATAAGTTATTACAATTATAATTAGTAAATTATTAACTAATTTAACTTTAAACTATATAAAATACCTTGTAAATAATTAATAAATAATAATAATTAAAAATATAGCCAGCTTTCTCGCTTTATTGGTGCATGCGGTGCAAAAAAGTCGGTACCAATATTATATAAATATTTTTTATATAAAATTTCAAAATAATTTACATTATAAACTATTGTAAACTATTAATATTATATAATATTATATAAAATTATATTTTAAAATTAATCACTTAATACACAAATTGTATAATAATTTTTTACAAAATTATTTAAGAATATAATAGTGCACAATAAGTAATTAATAGCCCAATAATACATAATAAAATTTTTTAATTATATATTATTTTAGAATTTAAAATTTTTACAGTTTTAAATCTTAATAATTAGTGATTGTGTGTGTGTGTAAATGTATAGATAGTAATCAATAAATATATTGCAGCAAATATTTAGCAATGCATTTGTATAATACTTAAGCACTCACTTTGGTAAACTCGACATAGCTTAAATATTAATTTCAATGACATTATGTCATTAAACTACACATTTTTCGGTTATATATAACACATTCTGCCGATTCTTGAGTTTAGTAACCTCTGTTATACCAAACAAAACACAATCAAATCGATTAGAGTCTGTACAGAGAGAGAGAGAGAGAGAGAGAGAAATTAAGAAATATTTTCATCCATTTAATCTGATTTTATTTGTGATTAAATAGGACGACCCTGAGCATCAAATTGCTGTTAATGCTAAGTGCATTAAATGATAGAAATAGTTAAACATTAATTAATTCGAGTTTACCAAAGTGAGTGCTTAAGTATTATACAAATGCATTGCTAAATATTTGCTGCAATATATTTATTGATTACTATCTATACATTTACACATTGTATCCGTATCTAATTCAAATAATCACAAATGTGTAGTTTAATGAACATAATGTCATTGAAATTAATATTTAAGCTATGGGATGGTCAATAACTATATGTAATAATAATAATAATATTTTTTAATATTTCCAAACAATTTTGTTAAATACAATTTTGTCACAATTTCATTTTATGTATATTTTAGCATTATCATTATTTACAGTTATATTTATGGTTTATGTTTGTGTCACTGTAGTTTATCATCTATAATTTTAGCAAAATATTTTTAGAAATTATATTAGCTTTGTATTAAAAATTTGTTTTATAAGTTGGTGATATTTTGAGTAATATTTTTTTCGCGTTAATTATGTAGTTTCAAAGCATTATAATTACTTGATAAGTTTCATTTTAATTATTAGTAAACTATTTTAACAACACAATATGTTAATATAAAGTAAATATTGAGCTAATTTACAATATTTCTAATAATTTATATAATCAGGTTTTATCCTAATAATATTTTAATTACCCGTATACGACCTAGAGCACGCATAAACTACTCAATATTCATAGTTAAGTATTTTAATGATAGTTATTGAAATGCAATTAAGTTTTATTTTTATCATGTCAAAATAATTATAATAATTCATTCATGACTATACTTATTTTTGTTTAAAATTGCATGTTTAGTTTTATTTTTTTGTAACACTGCATATAATGTAATTTATTTTATTATTTATATTTTGCAATTGTTTGCAATAAATGAAAAATATAATTAAAATATATTTATATTTTTAAAACAAGTAATATTATTTAAACTGTAAACATAATTATTTTAATCATATTGTATTATGGTCACTAAATTTATTATTTAAAATGGACCAGACACCTCTCAGGGTAAATACTTATATTTTAAACAAATATTAAAAATAAACTAAAAATAATAAATGTCTAATTTTTTGATTACCACCTTGGTACCTCTTATTTGATATGAAATAATATACTCTCAATGTTAACAATCAAAAATCATAGATAAAAAGAAAAAATATTTGAAAACTAATCTCAAATAAAATGCTCACTCAAATTAAGCATATTTAATATTCAAAGGCAACAAGGTCTGCTAACTACCTAAAAAAATTAGCAACATTTAACTCGTAATAAATATACACTGTTTGTGATACAAGGATTACTATTCAATACTGTGTGTAATACAGTAGTTAGGGAACTGGAGGTAGTGATTGCTTACTGACAATTAGGTTGACCTAAAAATCCGTTTGAATAGCAATCGTAATGATATTGAAATCAAATTAATCTCTAAGAACTGTAAAACATTTTAAAAGTAATGTTTTATTTTTGCTTATTTTGTTTGAAAATAAATTTTTGGATTAAGTCCTAAAGAAACTTAAAATATATTATTTATAATGTTTTAAACTTTTAGTGAAATATTAACAATGGATACCTTATCTTGGTTATTTATATTCATAGCAATTTGTGTTAATTTATGCTCAAGTAAGCTATTTTGTTATTTTTTAAAATGTGTTATCTTAATACTATTATAGATAATGTTTTATTTAGTTTTATTTTAATTAACATATAAAAATTATGATTTAACAAAAGTTTAGATAATTGTTTTATTTTTAAACTGTTATTAATTGTATGCGCAATACAATATAAATTATTAATTAATGATGTTTAATTAGCAATTAATTATTTTATATTTTTTTTATAGATCAAGAGTATCATTATTGGCCTAGCTATGCACCTGATCCCATTTATCACCATTATCCAATTTATCATCAACCTCCCGTGACAGTATACAAAGGTGAGTTTAAACTCTATAAGTATTTTTACTCTATAACTTATAATATTATATAAATTATAACATATTGTATTAAATGCATAATAAATAGTAAATTTTTTTATAAATTATTTGATTTATAAAACAAAATTGATCTTAATAAAATAATTTAATTTTAAAGGCTAATGTTTTAATGAAATAGTTTTAATTTATAAAAACGTAATTTTAGTACACCTTCATATCCAATAAGATACAAATACAAATTGAATAGATAGCAAGTATAAAAAAGTATTGTTACAGTTTAAAATTACACTTTAATATAATATTATGAATAATTTTTTAAAACTAAACTCTTGATCAAATTAAATAGAAATTAATTTTTGTAATTTTTTTTGCTAATGATAAAATCAAATAACAAAAAAAATTATGCATAAATTAATTAAACCTAAACAACTGTAAATTAAAATCTATTATTTGAGTGCATACATCATCATTAATTTTAAAATGTTTATGGTGTTTTCAACCACTTTTTATAGATTTAACTTTACTAACATTAAGTACATTACATTTTTAATCTTACAAAAATTTTATAATTACTTTATTACACAAGGAAAAAATGCCCTACCTAAAACTGAACCACTCCCGGCAAATTAAATCTAAAAGTAATATTGAAAACAATTTAAATCCCAGTTAAATATTATTAAATTCAAATTATGTAGATAAAAATATAAATAAATAAAGTTACAGTTTAGAAATATACTTTATTAATAGTTAAGTTTCTAAAACTATATCATAAATATAATTTAATTTTGGTACTTGATGGCTTATAATAAAATCATTGACCAAATAAATTTAATTTGCATAATCAAATTAAATTAAAACTACTGTAAATTAAAACTTATTATTAAATTATATACATCATTATTATTTTAAACATATTTATGGAATGTTACAAAGCCTTATAGCAATAACATTACTAAAATTAACCAACTTACATTTTTTATTATATAAAAAATTATCATTACTATATTAAATAGAAATAAAAATGCCCTACCTAAAACTAAACGACTCGCGACAAATGCCCATGATCGGTATGGGCACCCTGGGCATCGTCGACCGGAATACCTTACGTAATGTGATTGAGGACGGCATACACGTGGGCTACCGGCACATCGACACCGCCTACTTCTACAAGAACGAGGCATTCCTCGGCGAAAAGCTCCGGGAGATCTTTAAACGTAAGGACCACTACCGGGTCAAGAGATCGGACCTGTTTGTCACGAGTAAACTTTGGAATACCCGGCACTCCCGGTTCGAAGTCATTGAGGGCCTCATTGAGAGTAACATGAAGTTGAACATCGGTTATATCGATTTGTACCTGGTTCATTTCCCGATGGCCTGGGAGGAGGGCGGTAAGGATATACCTTTAGATGCCAATGGGCTGACCAAGGATACCAATATATCGGTTGTGGATACGTGGAAGGGCATGGAGGATGCCCAGAGAATGGGCATGGTCAGAAGTATCGGTGTTTCCAATTTTAATGTGGATCAACTGACCAGGATACTAATACACGCTGCGATTAGGCCGGTGGTTAATCAGGTTAGTTTATACAAAATTTATATCTAAACTGTAAGTTTGTTTTTTAATTGAGATCAACTAGACTAATTTTAGTCTTAAATTAAATTTTGGGGCATTTTATTAATGATATTTTTTTTATCATTTTGTATTTATCAATCAATATATTTTATTATTTTTTGATTAAAGTTTAATTTTAATTACTATAATAATTTTAATACAGTAATAATGTTTTCGATTTAAGAAGTAATTTTATTTAATAAATGAGTCTTAATTATGCAAGTTTAAAATAATTAATATTTTTGGATACACAGCATAATGTATTTATATTTCTAATTTTCTAAAAAAAACTTAAATAAACAAATTAAACGTACAATTTATTTAATCTTTATGACATTATATTTTCTCAAAAATAAATATTATTGTGGTGTATTGCACTGTAAATTAAAATAATATTTAATTTTAATATACTATTACATTTATGCATTTTAATACTCTCACATTATTTTATAATTGTATTATAATTTTTCTATACTAATAAAACTTAATCTTTTTATATCTATGCAATGATTTAAAATTTTTAAATATTCAATTAATTTTCAACAAATATTTCAATAATTAGATTGAAGTGAATCCATACCTAACGGAGGAATGTTTGGTACGATTTTGCCAGAAGTCCGGTATTCAAGTCGTGGCCTACAGTCCCTTCTCGAAGGGTAACCAAACGCTAATGAATGAACCGGTGCTCAAAAAGCTCGCATTCAAGTACCACAAGTCCGTGCCCCAGGTCATCATGCGATGGTTACTGCAAAGGGGTATAGCAATTGTACCAGGGACCATTCACAAAGAACGTCTCATAGAGAATATTAACGTGTTTGATTTTAAATTGAGCGAGAAAGAAATGTTGCGAATAAGCAGGCTCAATCGCAATTGGCGTCGAACTGAATTACCGTATTCTAGATATAACGCTGAGTACCCCTATAGGAGAATGTGTTACGAATGAGCTAGGTTAATAAAGTATAGTGCACTGTGTGTTATACAGCATATTAAAATAATTTAAACATTTGAAATATATCAAACTTGCTTGTTAATTAATATTGATTGTGTTAAATATAAAATTATTAACTATTAATGTACTGCAATCGCACAAAAGTAATAAAATAAATTTTGAAAAATATTTTATTATAATATACAATAATAGTTAACAAATTAATTGTTTAAAGGGTACAGAATTCTTGGCACCCCGGCCACCACAAAAGTTAGAGAGATCATAATATATAAAATTATTAAACAATATTTTTATATTAATTTTTTTTAAAAAGTTACTTATTTATATTATGGTTAAATTAATTAATAATTGAATAATTGTAATTGTAATTACATATAAATAGCTCTCTCCAATTTAGGAACGCCAGATAGGGAGAGAGCTAAGTTTACTTGGGGCTATCTATTTACCTGGGCCAATAAAATTACAAATGGTATCTGTCATATAAAATATTATTTTTAAAACTGTAAATAACTATTTATCTACTAATTATAATCATTCGTAAAGTTTGATACATTTAATTATTTGAAAATCTATGAATTTAATTAAATAATCATTTTCTAATTAGTATTTTCAATTAAAAGTCTCAACCGTTAGTCCAGTATTAAAAGCTAATAAAAATAAATCTTTGTTTCAGTCATACAGACCTGTTTCAGTTCAACCAAATATTTACAGACTTTTTGAGTTAATACTGTTAAACAAAATTTTACCATTCATTGAATCTCATAATATACTTAATACAAAACAATATGCATATTGTAAAGGTATATCCATATGTGATTTGCATATTGATATGCAAAAAGTCATTTACGAGTCATTAAATGATTCAAATGTGTTATCAATAGGTATTATTTTCTTAGATCTTTCCGATGCTTTTGATAGCATATCTCACAATAGATTGTTAAATAAACTTAAAATGTATGGTATTTGTGGTGATATTTTGAATTTAGTTACAAATACTTTTTTTAATCGCAAACAAATTGTTAAATATAACGATATTTACTCAAATGAGACTAATTTTAGCTCAGGTATATTACAGGGAGGCATATTGAGTCCAGTATTTTTAATATATACATGCCTGATATTTTTAATAATATTAACTCTGATATATATCTGTTTGCGGATGACATAAGTCTTATGAGAATGATATACAACGAAAATGATTGTCATATATTACAAAATGATGTGTTGAAAGTGAATGATTTTTGTGTAGAAAATCATTTAAAACTAAATCCTAACAAATCTGAAATGTTAAGAATTTCTTTCAAAAAGTCTAATACTTTTGTCTATTCTATTAATAATTGTATAATTAATAGTGTGTTAAGTCATAAACACATTGGTGTGGTATATGATTGTAAAATGTCTTTTAATTCTCATTTTGATTGTATAATAGAAAAGTCTTTAAAAAAGTTTTCATTACTTAAGGTATTGTGTAGACGTGTGAATGGATTAACATTTTTTCGGTTATATATAACATATATTCTGCCGATTCTTGAGTTTAGTAACCTCTTTTATACCAAACAAAACACAATCAAATCGATTAGAGTCTGTACAGAGACGGGTAACTAAATATATATGTTATAAACTGGGTAAAAATGATATTTCATATAATAGATTATTGTTGTTAAAAATTCTTTCATTAGAAAAGAGAAGAAAAATTCAAATATTGAAAATAGTATTTAAATTAAGGTTTAAATTGTATGACTATTCAGACAAATGGTCTAATGAATTGTGTTTTTATAATACTTCAAGGAATGGTGTGTTGTGTAAGATATCATTACACAAAACTATTTGTGAGAAATCATTTTTTAATTATGCCTCAAAACTGTTATGCCTAAAAATATTACATGTATTTCTAAATATAATTTGTTTGTTAAAGAAATTAATCTGTTTTTATAATTATGTATTGTTTAAGAGTACTTCTTAAATTCAATAAAACCATTATTATTATATTATATTATATTATCATACGTATAATCTTATAGTATTAATAAATGGAATGTAGGCAAGATTTGGTTATAATTTATTTAATTTTTCATGGTATCCTAATTTAAATTAATTACGTTTTGACAAACTGTAATCAAAACTTTTTGTCAGCTATAATTACCCATTGGGTGGAGGGGGGGGGGTGAGTTACCGCTGACTATTTGTGGTAAGTTTAACGGGGGCTCTTAAGTGGCTATCTGTTTATAAAGAGAAATAATATTTTTAAAACCACCAATGACATTTATAAATAAATTTTATATTTAAAACTGTAATTATATAATCATTTTTTAATTTGTATCATTCGTATAAACTTATAGAAATCAATATTGGATATAGTTTCCGATCATTATTTATTTCATTTTCTGAAATAATATATTTACGTTTTTAAAATATACAGGGATGAAATTAAATGACTCCCCTATTTTGAATTCAAATAATTTTAATACCATGCAGTTTATTTAAATATATTAATTACCAAATTGTAGCTGCATAGTTAGGGTTTTGTTAGGTATATGACTAGTGTTGCCAACTCTAAAAATTTTCACCCTGGAGATTTACATAAATTCACCCCCAATGAGTTACCGCTGACTATTTGTGGTAAGTTTAACGGGGGCTCTTAAGTGGCTATCTGTTTATAAAGAGAAATAATATTTTTAAAACCACCAATGACATTTATAAATAAATTTTATATTTAAAACTGT